TAGGGATTTTTTTTTCTTTTGATTCTTAAGGGTCAGAAATAAATCCAGTATGACCCCAGTGTGTAACAGTGACTTAACTGCCAGCAGCAAACATCCTAAACTAAGGGCAAAGCCGAGGTGCTGGCCAGATCCTAAAAGCAGACACTTTGGTCTTTTCTGGATTCAATTTAAGTCAACTGGTCTTCATCCAGACTCTAATCTCCCTTCAAGCTCTGTTTTTATCTGTGAGATAGCCATGCCTGCACTGGACTAAAGAGATTCATAAAGCTGCATGTCATCAGCATATTGCTGGCATCGAAGCCCATGTCATCTCACTGTGTACCCTAAGGGCTGTATGTAGATGCTAAGCAGGAATAGGAGGAGGAGGGAGGGCAAAACACAAACACTCCCCCAACCCCCCAGAACTATCCAACTTGCCCCTCATCGACTTCTCTCCTCCACCAACTAAAGAAAGGTTGGTCAGGAGCAGTTTCTAATATGTTTTCCAGTGCAGCTAGGCAGGCTGTGTATTTTCAGTCTCCACCTACTACTGAATTGTCCACCACCTGTTCAGACTGAATCCAGGATCATCTCAAGCCAGACAGAGACATCCAGGATATCTAAAAAGATCATGTGCCGAAGGGCGCCACATTGATGAAGGAAAGATGGTGTTAGGTCAAGAGAAAAATTGGTAAATATAGCCACACGACCTGTGAACCCCACAACCAGCTGACCATTGTATTCTGTAAACATAAAAAATGGTAAGAACGTCAATGAAAACTAGCCTTCATGGCAAATGCGTAGATCCACTGTAAAATCACCTTAACGCTTGCTATTAAGAAAGTTTACCTTCTTGCCTTGAAAGCCCTACCTGGTTTCTTACAACAGAAAAATTACAAAGTAGTCTGACTAGTTGAATGAAATTACTTTTCATACTGATGTTAACATATCAACTCCTATATTTCCAAGGAGAGGTTCCAAGTTAATTATTTAAAAGGGAGAGAAAGGAAGGGTTATTTCAGATGCTTTGAATGAAGAAGTTACCTTTAGAGCTGCCTTTACACCACATTTGGGGGTCTTTTTGTCTGTTTTTTCCAAATATAAGTAAAAAATAAAAATTGCCACATCTTCCAAGATTAAGAGCTAAGTCTGCCATGAAAACCCAGACTAGAACCAACTACATATGAGATTCAAACACTTCTAGCTTCGCAGCATAGTATGAAAGAGCTTTTTTTCAAAACACCCCCCCCAGCCAGTAAATTACTGCAAAGGCACCTTTTCTCATAAGAATGTGAACGAGACTGGAGATCTCGAGACCGTGATCTTGATTTCCTTCCGGACTTTTTACGAGTGTAGGTTCTGCTGTCTGAGGAGCTACTTGAAGATGAACGCCTGCGGTGTTTCTTCTTTCTTCGGCTTCTGTTCTCTTCTTCTGTGTCTGATGAGTGACGCCCCATTTTTAAACTATGTAAAAACAAAAATTCTGAATTGTAAGAAAATCTTGTGTCTAACTTGTATTAAATAATTATATTATACAATATTTACAATACATACAATTATTATGCAATAATAATTATATAATTGTATAATTATATAATTATATAATTATATTATAGATAATAAAGAGAGAAATGCCATTTTTAAAATTGTCACATGGATAGGAAATTTGGGCTTTACATTTAAATCCTTGCTTTTGCATAACAACAATCTCACATTGTCGAGTAACTGGAAATGTACAGTGTCAGTAAATCTGCATAAATTTATTATAGTATTGAATATTTGTTCTAAACCTTCTCAAAGGTATCTCACAATCATTTAAACATAGATAAATGCTCTGATAAAATCCATCATTATATCAAAACATGCTTTTACTTTAACTTGTTTATACATTTTTGCTTTAGATATTAATTTTTCAGAAACTTCTGGAGTAATGCGTATGCAGGTACTTCCAATACCTGAAATTTTACATTAAGGTGATATACAGGTATTATTACAGTACATTTAATGTTTAATTTACAGCGATAAAGGAAGATAAGTTATCTTCATTGCACAGTCTAAAAAATGCATGCAGTCAGAGACATCAGTAACTGAAATCAGCAACTGCTTCACATTGTATAGTACGTTTTGTTTCTACTTGCCATAATTAAAACAGCTTTCTAGAAGATATTTTCTAAATGTATAGTTTTAAGTTATTTTATACCAGAGCTAAGCCGATTCTCCAGACTGAACTCCAGACACATTTCTTGATTTCCAAGATGTTTACTTGGATAAAGTTTCAAGTTTACAGACTTTGCTAATAGAGTTGTAAACAAAAAAGCCTGTACTGCCATTCATTTAATTGCTACAAAGACAATTGTCTTTGCTTGGTTTGGAACTCATAAGAGAGAGTTTTATTGCTGTCATCTTTGATTAAAAGTAGTGTTATATTTTGCAAATTTTTCAGCATGTAAAAAAGTGGATAATGTTTTAAAACTATTTTTTGATCCAGCAACACGACCCCTATCCATCCAAGACTTAAGATCCCTCTTCAAACATTTTAAACTAATGACATGTAGTAGAGGCCCTCTTCCCATGAATAAACAGGTATTTCAAGGCTCCCTAACCACTTCTATACCAGGAAAACAGGAACTTCTAGTTCTTTCATGTACACACCAACAGCAGAAGCTAGATCATACACATATTTTACCACAGCATCATCTGCCTTTAACCAATGGTGAAATATTATGGGCCCTCACACTTCTAGCACATACAAGTCGAATTTTCCACATACAAACTTTGGACCTTCCTCATACCTTTTATCACCTTGGCAGCAGACCCTAATCTCCAGGGCAGAGACTGAAAACAGAACAAAAGAGAAATTCACTGTTAAGGACGTTTAGGCTTATATGGAAATACAAGTCTTGGCTGCTTTAGGCCCTTAGGTTAAAAGAGTTCGACTGACAAAAGCCCTGATTAGTCCACAGACAAAAGTCTCTTAAGTTCCCAAGAGAGCTAAAATTCTGATTCTGTGCATGATCACACCTGCTACCACCCTACACTGACACATCTAAACTCCTAAGCAAGCACGGCATTCACAAAGTCAGTGTACTGTGACCAAGTTCCCAAGGGAGTCTTCCAACTAGTTATATCAAAGTTTAATAAAGATACAAACAACGTTGAGTACCAGTTAAAAACTATGCCAAAGGCACAGGAAACCTGCAAGTGAAGCGCTGGTCGCAATATACTGCTTGCAGCCTGCGGAAGTTGGTCTACTGCGTCGTAAGGGCTACCTGAATCCTGGAGCGAGAGTGCTACCACAAGCACAAGTCCTGGCTCAAAGGGACAGTCTCCTGGAAAGCGCCAAGTCCCGCACCTGCCTTCTAATTCATGACTTCCATATTTTATCCAAGAATTGTTTAAAGCAAAATACAAGATAGCATGTATTTGGATTTGCTTTGGTGTTTACAAGAGCTTAGCTATTATCACAATCAAAACGGTAGCTATACAACTCTCATTCCTGTGTTTCCAAACCTCTGCCACTCGCGCATGGCTCTCAGGCACACAATTTGGAGCTACCAGTTCCACTTCTGCAGCCAGGAGTGCCGACAAATTAGTCATGACTAAGCTTTGCCACGTTGTTTGTGTACCTACCTCAATTCTCAATAGTTTCAATTTTCAGCCTATCAGAAATGGGCACTCAGCTAATAAACTAAGCAAAGCATTTTTGAAGTACTCAACTAAAAACACCAGATCTCCACGCACCTAAAACAGCAGAACTTTAAAGGGATGCTATGCTCTGTTATGCAAGATTATTTTTAAAAATAAAACGTCATTTTGAAAGTCTTATTAAAGTTATTCCACACAGATTTTGAGAAGATAAAGCAATACTTTAAAGACCATTTTATATCGTTTAAATAAAGATGACATTAATTTATAATTCTGTGGAGAATGGTTAACTTTTATCAACACGCCATCTTGTGTGGTTACTTCACTTTTTTCTACTATTAGTAAAAGCTTTACAGAGCTCTAAGGTACTAACACTTACTGAAGAGTAAAATAAAACTCTTTAAATATGTATTGATAGAACAATCTTCAAATGAAGACGAACCTGAATTTCAAACTTAGGTAGAACCGTTCATAAAGATGAAACCATCAGGCACACATTTTAAGTTAAAAGCTCACAAACCAAGGTTCATGACAGCAAGATTAATGAAAGAGACCAGAGAAACACAGAGTACAAAAGACATTTCTGCTGAGATATTCACCACTTGATGCGGACATCGTTACGAGCCAGAACATTACACTTCAACATATATCTCATCTGTTGTTTAACTTCCTTCTTTTTCTGCCATCAGGTTCTTTTCATTCGGACACATAACTGGATTAAGAAGTATATCAAGCTAGTGAAACATACTATTAAAATCTCAGTTATGTGTTCAGGACCAAAGAAGAACTACATGCCATGGGCTTTTTTATTACGTGGCCAGCCCTACTGCATACAGGCAAAACACTTCTGCTTCATGCAGACTTGAGCCTCAACAGTTCCAGGAAGCACTGGGTTTACCATGGAAGAGCATGCGGGTGACTGATTCCCTGCATGTTCTAGGGTTTTCACCCGAAAAGAGGTTGCCAGAAGCAGGCTGTTGATCTTGGGACAACACATCAGTCCTAGTAGCTCTCTCCCACAGGGATATCTTCGGAGCACATAGGCAGTTGACAAACTGATGTCACAGACACTGTCTTTCACCAGGGGTCTTTAGACCATCCTTTATCACATCACATACGTTTTCCTGTAAAGACACCTCCGACAAACATAGCACTTGAAAGCAGTTGATTATCAAGACCTGTATCACGCTAGCATGCTGCCTGGCTACAGCTTACTCCTTCCGTATTCCTGAGCGGACCCGGAAAAAGGGAGTGCCAACATAGATCGGTCACACCAGCTGAAGCCTGACGGATGGAAGAGTTCTTTTGACAGGTCAACAGCGGTCCATACACTGTTTCCACAAACAAGACTGTATACCAGTACCCACAGACCAAGGAGACAAACTAAGGATGCTCAGGTTATCCTAATTTTGGTATTTTACACCTTTTAAATAACTGTCTGAAACCCTAATAGCCATTAAAGCATAGGGCCTGAATGCATCCATATATTGATTCCTACTTTTTCTAAAAAGCACACTGGAAAAAAAAATTAAGACTCATTACAAGGCATCATATGCTGAAGCTCAGGGACTTTTTCTAACAATATATTTCAAGACAAAGTCTGTAGATTCACCACAAAGATTCCTACCACTGAGTTAAGAGTGACGTTAGCCAGTTCACCCTTACAGCTATGGGGACTGGATCCCATTTTTAAGGCTCCTTACCCTTACATTTCTAAGTTTTTAGGCCATATGCATTGACATCATCCATTGAGGTGATAACACTCCTGCCAACTCCTCCTCCTTACAGGCAGGCACTGAGAAAGATAAGGCTCTCGATGCCTGGTGAGGTACAAGAGTCAGCAGTTAAGTGTTTACTATTCTCCACCTCATTTGAGAAACAGCAGCCTGTGGGCTACCAGTTGCATCATATTAAAGCAACTCCCCAGTAGGAGTAGGTTTTTTTTTTTTTTTATTAATAAATCCTGACTATGGAGCAGTACTAGAAGGAAGAAGAAGAAGAGTTTTATTAGCAAGTGCTGAGAGCAGTTGAATGGTAAAACTGAAAATGTAGGTTACATTCCAGGCTTCTGTGGGGAAGAGTCTCCTGACCCTCCCGAGGCTTGCTCTGGTCCACCTCTCAGCCCTAATTTTCCCTCTTGGCGGTCCTCGTCCAGCCTCTGTATATTCCCTTGCCCACTTCTGAATTCAAACCAAACCACGTTGGTCAAACAGAAACAAACACAGAGTTCTGAAGACGCTCTTTCAAGATATGAGGACCCTGGCAGCTGCTCTCATGTTGAACCCCAGGCTGGGCCATCAAATTAGTCAGCTATTTAAATACTTCTGAGAGCTCTGCCCAACGTATGCAAACTTTTTGAAGGCTAACAATTTGTCCAAAACAGCTTTTCAATAGCATGACTACTGGCTGGACCTGATAACATTTAAGTCCTTGTTCTGGAGCACGGGCATACTGGAGTAACCAAAAAAAAAGGTCTCTCAACTTTTCTTCTTTCAAAAAAGTCTTCTTCCTGGACACTCATGCTTTGGTTTAAATGGTTTTTAATTTCAACTTTAATTGAAATTAAAACAAATAACCACATGCCCTCATGCACACGTTTTGCCAAGGGAAATACCAGCATCAAAAATTTCAAACCAACTGCTTACATATGGCAAAGTTATAAACGGAGCTATTAAGCTCACCTGCAAATAGCTAAGTAACCTCGCAACACTATAAAAATGCAAACGAAAAGACAGGTAAAATAGGTAGCAAGCAACAGACTCTTCTTAAAAAAAAAAAAAAAAAAACACACCACCACCACCACAAACAGAGTAAGGTACGCTTTACAATGTGATAATGTAATAAGAAACATACATTGACCTTGTCCAATCTTGTGTTATAGTTTTTAGAATCATTTCAAGTAAACAATACTTGTATATTTTCCACATACATTAATTTCAAATTACTATTCCATTTACTGATGTAGATTGTCAGAAAATAATATTGTTAGTTTTAATCAGAGAGGCTGCTACCCAGTAAACATTGCTACAGCAGGCTACGCTTCAGCACAATATCCAATTAGATGATTTAATCTTTAGTTATCATAATCAGACAGCAGTTATACAGACAAAATAACCTCCACATTTGTTTGACATCAGGTCTTTATTACAGTTTATGTTTGTTAGTTACTAAGAAATTGATTATAAGTGACTTACAGTAATCGCTAACCACATGCACTGTTTATATAGCATCTCTGCAAACAAGACCTCTGAAGAAATTCTAACCTATTGCATAGGCATCGACGGAACAAATACTGCAAGCACCTCAGTATTCCCTTTTCTGCTAAGCTGTGCATGTACATCTATGGGGGAGAATCAACGAGTCAGGGTAAGATGGTACTTGGCAAACCCCAGTGAGAAAACAAGGCTAACTGAAGAAAATTTATTCAAAGTTCCTGGTGAACATGCTCACTACCTAGGTAGTGGGATTGACAGTGTTACTAGGGATGGCAACACTGATCCCTCCCAAAAGGTAGATCATAAACTGGTAGACGGTAAAAGTCTGTCTCAGACAGCTCCAGCATGTACAGAACAAAGCATGTCTTTGCATGTATCCCCACCAAGATTCTAGTTTATGTGGAAACTCTCCCCACTCAAAAATTCAGAAACAATTGCTCTCGGTACACAAAAAGATTTGATCAAGAAAGACAGTAAGATGACTGTTCTTATGAGCAACCACCTGAATTGTTGTTGCTATTAAATACTTATCTAATGGTCTCTCTTTCCCTTAGTCAAGTTTCCAAATCAATACAGGAGGAATACCTAAATCACATCTACCAATGCAGTTACCATAACTGGTTACCTTAAGAAAAACAAACAAACAAAAGAACTAGCGATCAAAGAATCACAGAAATTCAGTTACTTCGTTACACTCAAATATACCCCATAGGAACAAGATGCCACTGGCGCTGGCCATGCCATAACACTATTTTTTGGTTAAATAAGGGGTTTCTCTTTGACAGCGTCAATGGTATTTTTCACGGCCATTGATTTTGAATTTGAAGAAAGTTTGCCTCCATCCAGAATCACAAGCGAACAATTTTTAATAGTGACGCTCTTGAATTCATCTTCACATCTCTAGATTTCAAAGTTAAATATGGAAAAAAAAGCAAGGCTTAAGGAGACATGATGTGCCCATGGTCATCCAGGACGCTAACAGCAAAGTTGGAAATGGAACCAAGTTCTCAAACCACAGTAAGGAGCCTCATCTACTAAGAGGCTGCCTCCACAACCCGCCTTTCACTCAATACTCAGGGATACAAACTGGCTTCTGTGACCATTCTGTGGAAGTAACTGCATTTTCTGTATCTGAAGGCAATAAGAACTATGAAGATTCTCAGTTTAAATCAGCTGAGATAAGCTGATTAAGCACAAAATCAGTCAGCACTTGCTCCAATTCTTCATTAAACAGCAAGAACTTAAAAAGTAACAAGTTTTCAGAATAAATTTAGGGATTATTTATGTTTATACAAACTTTATGATGGAACTTCCAATATTCCTTTTAAATCAAGTTCTAGACCCCATCCATACTCGCTGGGTAAAAGATTGAGCTGAACAGCTTAAAATAACAACAAATTTTAAAATGGCCCTAAAACAGCTAGACTGTCCCAGAAAGCGTTCCTTTTGTATCTGAAAGTGGAAGAAGCAGCTTTCAGAGCTGCAGCCAGCCGAACTATAAAATGAAAACACCTAGGCTGAGCGCTGCTAGTGAAAGCACTGTCAGGTAGGGGTACAGACGTACACGCAAGTACCTCCCACAGGAAACAAAACCGCATGCCTTCTTCGAGTTTGCCACTCAAGTTTTCACAGAGGAGAGGCAGGAGAGTAAGGTCCCGCGCTAGCTGTTTACTCCGACCACGCTATGAACTGGAAAGCAAAGAGTTTTGTTCGGGGGTTCCGAGGACCAGGGGGGCGCCGTTCCTCCCGGGCGCTAAGGCGCTCCCCACCGCTAACGCTTTGGGCCATGCAAGGGGGGGGG